CGCTGTTCTGCGTCGACAGCCTCAGCCTCGTTCAACCCAAATCACACATGAAGTCCCTCGAGCAAAATGGCTCGGTTGGTCCATGAGTATGCCAAAAGGAACGAGGGCAAGTCAAAAACAGTGCTGTCGATGGCCGTCGACATGGCAATAGCGCCGTGTCATGATACTCCAGTGCCTTTTTATTATCCAATGCAAGCCCCCCTTGTTCGCTGCTATCATGACCCTGCCTTTCTCCTCCGCCTTCGCGCTGTTTTCGCTCGTTCCATCTTATCCAAGTACTTGTTGTAAGTTTCCTTTTCTCTCACCCCCGACGTATCTAAGCAAAGCACTTTCCAATGTCCTTTTCCCGTGCCAGCTCGACGCCCACTCCATATCAATGCCGGTCAATCATGTCTAGCCCAAATCATTCTTTCCGCGACAGCCACCCGAACCCATTATACACCTGCCGGCCTCTCTCCCCGTCCAGGATCCATTGATACTTTCCGTCCTTGAGCCGACTCCTCCGCAACTGGTCTTTCGGTCACACTTGAGAGAACCTCGTCGCGTGGTCTGTCAAATGATCTCCCTCTAGGCGCCAAATGCTCCTGCGCGAAAGCCGCTAGGCTATTTCGAGAGGAGCCTTGCTCATTTCTGGGCGGGCTCTTTGCTCGGTCCTTCTCCTTCTCAGCCAGTCTTTCGTCTCTGTTCTGTGACATCTTGGCTTTCCATTTTCCAAACAAGCCCTTCTTCTCCATCTCGGAATTAGGATCCTTCTGAACATCATTCGATTCTTGGCTTGACTGACCAATAAGAGCTTGTTGTCCGCTTCCAGTGGGATCAGGATATGACGATTGTGTCAGTTGAGAATCCCCGGTAAAGCTCTTCCTGGGTCGACTGGAACTTCCGATTGAACTGTTACTTCCTCTGGCCCCAGCATTCTGGCCAACAGGTGGGGGTGGTGCAAGCGGTGACTGTTCTCCTTTCTTTGCCGCAGCGGAGAATCTCCACCGATGACGACGCTTTTCTTTCTCGGGTTGACGCAGCACATCATCCACGGCGTCGGCATCTGAAGGGTCAGTGAAAGAAGAGCGAGAGTGCGTCGATCCTGGCGGGGAGGTGGGTGGTTTCAAGCCGGGTGCATGGTTTTGTCCGTTGTTTCCAGCGGGTGCGGTCGGGAGTTGTTTCGAGTTTGGTGTTTCATTCGTGGGAGTTGCTGCTGTGTTCACGAGGGTAGGACCTTGAGGCGCAGCCAACGGATCGTGTCGCCCAACGCTATTGACATCAGGTGAGACAAGAGGCGTGTGGAAAGTGCCCGCCTCGTCACCATGAAGTGAGTTCAGCGAGCTCTGAGCACTGTCGTTCGTACTCCCAGGTATCTTTGGCTTCTTTTGCAACTTCCTTGGTTGCCTCCCGTTGGGATCTGACGGACCAAACATCGGTGACTTGGGGAAAAAGTTGGATATCTTCCGTTCTCGGGTCGTGATGGGTGGTGGAGCCACAGCCGCAGCCGTTACCGGTCCCTGGCCGGTCTCGGTTTGGGTTGGTACGGTCTGTGCTGCTAGTGGAGGTCGGGTCAGTTGTTGCGGAGACTGACCGGGTGCCTGGACGACTTGTGCAGAAACCAACGTTCCTCTGCTGTCAGCACCATCTGGTTGGATAGATCCAGATCTGGATGATTTGGACTCAGTCGTTTCCTGGTTCGTAGTCGGAGCGCCCGAATTTATGGAATTTGGTTCGACGGAGGAAATTGTCGACTCTGTGTTATCATTGGATCTCTGAAAGCGGTTCGAGGTGATCGCTGGAGATCGCTTCGAGGGGACAGTATTGCTTCGTGCTATTCCCGCACCTCCCGGGAACGAAGTGACCCCAGACGGAGTACCCGGGTTCGAAACTCCAGGACTCCCTCGTTCTCTGGAACCGCGTGATGACACAGAAACATTGCGTCGGACCCCATATTTCCGGAGACTCTCGGCGCCAGCACTGGCATTAGATGCAGACCGTCCAACAGCCTTTGGAGATCTTAGAGATGGTGCACCGCTCTCGACATCCTTCTGGGTTTTCTCATCGACTGCGGTGCCTGACATCCCAATGAGGAAATTATCCTGATTCTCGATCAAGAAGATTAAGACCTCTTGGCTGAGTCGATATTCCATTGGCGACATGTCGTGTGAGGGATGAGAGATTATGCCGGGTTGAAAGATGGCAGCGAGATTGCCAGCAGTCATGCGATTGAGGTCCGACTTGGACGCGAAGACCGCAAGCAAGTCGAGTATGTAGAGAAGCAGTTGGCGGTTCAGAGGCGGTAGCTCCGTGATGAGCTTTTGGTACGCAGAGACAGCGGCGCTGTGTTCGCTGACACTCATATCACGAGGTTGCATTTCACCATCCGGCCCCGTAGGAACCTGGATTCGGCGGAGTGGTTCGCGAAATCTCTCGTAGAAATCGAGAGGGACGATGGGCTCGGGGAGCTGGTTGAGGTAGCGTCGAAGGATATTGGCCGCGTCGTGGACGGTATAGCCACTCCAATCTAGCCCTTTTCCATACCTGTCAGGGGAGTTGAAGACGGCCTGCAGATCCTTGATTCGTTTTGCGGACCCGCTCAGTCGGAAGATACCCTCCACATCGGTGGCTGAAGACTTGTCAGCGGTGTATACAGTATTTGTTTACTAGAATCAAGCCCGTACCTTTCTCTTTGAGAAACACTCCACATTTCGCAACAACGATGGGGACGTAGCCGTAGATGAAACTCTCGCCATATTCATTTTGCAAAGAGATGGCGACGTTTGCGTACCTGATGCTCTCGGCCAGAGGAACGCCAAATATGCCAGTGGGAGCGTCAGCTAGTAGAGGAGTTAGTTGACAAGACGATCACGGTGGACAAACCACCTGGGAAGAGTCGGCAGCCTAAACTCCAGCCTCTCCCCAGGAAGACGGTCCTCTTGGCTCTCTTACCCTTGTCATCCACCTTTTCTGTAGTCTTCCTGAACTTCTTCCACCATGATGCTAGTTCTCGCTTTGACGGAGGAGAGGCGGTGTTCAATGGTGCAGGCGCAGGAGCACCACCACGGGGCGCTTTTTGGGCAAATGTTCGTGGAGGGCTCGGAGTGCCTGCGCCTCCCGTCGCCATAATGCGGCTACAGGCGCAGACGCGCTCTTCGCCACGGTTTGAGAGGAGGGAGGTCCGTTGCTTAGGGTGCGCGACGTGCCTTCCAGTTGTTGGTGAATCACTTTGGTTGGTATCAGACAGTATCGCAGGGAGCGCGACTCCTCTTCAACTGACACAGAAGGTCGTCTTCACGTGTTCTTGGGAAGCCCGCGGCACGCAATGGAGGGATAGCTGTTGGAAGGTGGAAAAAGGTGATGAATGCAAATGTCTGCAGGGACAATGCTGTTTTTAATGTGTTCGACGGTTGGTTTGTGAGGATGATCAGCTGGAGGGAACGACTGGCCAAGGGCGCAGGAAGAGCACCGATGCCGATCAAGAGGGTCTCTGGGCGACCGAGAGGGCAGTCAGTCTGACTGCCGGTGTACGAAATGATGGCGAGGTGGAAGGATGCTGGAAAAGCTGGAGGTGACAGGAATAACAGAACAAAATGAAACGCGACCATAAGGACCTGACAGGCTGCCAGGGGTGATGAGATTGGGGGGTGGCAGTTTCCTGTTTGTAAGGTCGAGGAAGGGTTTTGGCTGTGTTGGTAGACTGCTGGCGGCTGCGAGTTGAGGGCCACAGCAGGTCGCAGCTGAGTAGCCGGGTACTGGGTAGATTTTGGTCAACCGCAGCTTGGGGTGGGCTTTTGCGGGTGCTAGTTGGGTGGGTGGCACTGGGTGGTCGCAGGTGGTCGGTGCCCTTGCGATGCCCAGCTGTCAGTGCCAATTGTAACCAAGCAGTAGTCGTAGTCAGCGATGGCCCTAGCGCCACGAGCACTGCGGTGGTGGTGGCAGGGTCTGCACAGGGTACCCAAAACACCCAACTCCCCTTCTCGGCCCTGCAAGCCATAGGCAGATACATTCCCATTTTGGACCCCGCCGCCCTGGTAATCGCCTCGCTCAGTTAGCACGCTCAAGACATCAATTGCTTATTTCCCAGGTTTGCTCTCAGACATTCGCTTCCCGTGTCATTTATGAGTCTAGTGCTCATTGTTCACTCTAGTTCATTGATTTCCTTTGGACAAGCACCACACATTAGCTCGACGGATAGCAGGCTATCGAAGATACCCAAAGTCTGCCTTAAAGGAGTCAAATCGATACGTCTCTCATTGTCATCTGATAACTCTCCCCTGTCTCCCGCTACATACATAGGGAGGACTCGGTACAGCAGGACGTGCAGACGTGTCACCGCTGTGATCTGCAAGGTGCATCGAAGCCTCCTATGATGCCACTGTCTGACTATCGACGCCTCGAGCCTAATTCAAAAACAAATGGCACAGCCTGACACGAAATATGTATTTCGAGACTGCTTCAATACAGAATATAACTAACACTGTAGGATGGACGACAATTTACTGCTATAACTAAAGGTAAACAATACACTCGTTGTAAACGAAGGGCGCCTTCGATCCAATAGACTTTACTTCGTCAGACTGTGCCACTTAGTTTTGTATCCGGCTCGGCCTATATTTAAACGCGGCTAGGTACAAGCGAGGAGGGCAAGGAAACGGATGTTCCTGTCCCCGGCCGCTCGACCCATCCCGACCTTGCCGAGCGCTCAGTTGCGAGGTGCAGCCTGCAGCTCTCGGCAACCTACACGGCCCCCAAACTTAGCCGATCGCCCCCAATAATGAATCACTTGAGTACAGGACAGCGAACAATCTGGAGTAATAATACTAGTACTTGGTTGTGAAAAAGATTCGTCCATTCTGGTGGCTTCAACACGTCCGGATCCTACGAGCCAGGAAGATGAAAAAGCAAACGTCGCCTTTGCTAACGCCAACCCCTTCCCAGCACACCATTTAATTGGGCGTAATGAGTTCTAAAACATGGCTGAAATGATTGTCTGTTCATGGCAACAGGCCTCCATGGCGTTATTGTGCGGTCGTCGTGGTTGGTTCGACAGTGGTGGCTTCGACCCGGTCGTCCTCAACGATGGCGTTGGCCAGCTGGGGCGCTGCGCCGCCTATCGTCAGATCCTTGATCGCCTTGTCGAATTCCCTCTTCATCCCATGCTTGACTGCTTCAAGGACGTTGTCCACCGTCATCTTGGGCATGTACGTGGGCCGAGTGCCTTCTCTAAAGACCCCAGTTCGGACCAAGATGGAGTACCATCTCGCCTCGGAATCGCCTGATTCGTCGAATTCGTTGGTGCCTCGAATGTCCGATTCTGGGGTGTCGCCCACAAAGTAGACCGTCTCCGGAGGTCGATCAATTCCGTGGGTATCTTTCCGCCATTGCCGAAGTAGTCTGGTGGCGAATTGGAATGTTCCCACTTGAGGCTTGCCGAATGCGATGGTCTTCAACTCCTTTCCGGTAATGGCTTTGAACATGGCTTCGAGAGACGCCCGTAGTGCTCCCATGCCGATGCGGGAGTAGGTGTGAGATGTCGCCCAGACCACATCGTTATGAGAGAAAAACACCGGTGGACCTTCATCAAAGGTTTCTGATCTGGTACCCAGACGACCATTCTTGCTCATGCAGAGGTCGAGGATGATTTGAGAGTCTCCGGCCCAGTCTCTGCTGTCGGCGAACACGAAGACCGCCTCAATCTCGATTTCCCCGTAATTTCGAATGTTGGAGTTTCGGTGCTCTTCATCTGTCAGTTTTCTGAAGGGCGTGGTGTCTTCGTTGTCTTTGATGATGTCTCCGGGGGTGATGACGTCTTTGAAGCCATAGCCCTTGGCCACGTTGCGACATTTTTCGCCTTCACCACCTACAACAAGGACGGTGTGATACTTCTCAGCCATTTCTCTCATGGGGGTGTGTCCGCAGATAAATTGGCCGGGCGACACCTCCATTTGGAGTTGGTTGCTGAGCTGGATACATCGTTCCTCTTCAGTTTTCCCACCACCATTGGTGACGAAAATGTAAGGGCTATTGGACGAGAGAAATTAGTGTGCTGGATCACTCCGCAGCGGGATGAAACAGCGAGGTTACATACACTTTGATGCCGTATTCATTTTGGCCATTGAGAACTTTCATGGCCTCAATGGCCTCGGGAATAACCTTGCCCCCTTTGATGAGCACGCCGTCTATGTCAAAGGCGAAAGCGTACTTGTCAGTTGTGCTCATGCTACTGCCGTCATCAGGAGTAGTAGCTCCCGATTCAGGAGGGGTGATTGCTGGTGATGATTCGGCCAAGTGATGCTTCGCCATCTCCATGGCGCGGGCAGTCGAGTTGGCATGGCTGTGGACGTCCATATGTTGCGGTGGAGCGACAACAGCAGGTCCACCAAATAAATCTGCCCGTTGGGCATTTTGACTGGATAACCTGCGCATGCCTCGCTGGGATGCTTTGCTGGCGGTAGGATATAAAATGTTGTTGTCCATGTCTGAAGGATGCTCGTTAGTTGACATGTTGTGCAACCTGTCTGGTCATCGTCTCAAGGCAATGCTAATCAATAGAAAGCCAGGTCGTTTTGCATCAAGACGAGGCGAACATACAGTCTCCGTCGCTTATGGCAGGCGTCAAGAGGATGGGGTTAGGATTGAGGTCGCAAGCTGTACTCTGGTATTGGGGGGGATTTATATATCGGTCTTCCAACAGGTACGGCCACCTCGAGTGAGAAAGCCATCGAGGCAAATCGGAAACACACGTGGAGGAAAAGTGGAAGATATCAGAGACAAGCAACCAAAACAGTGGATATCACGAAAACCGAAGACGATTGCTGTTCGGTGAAGGGATGAAAGGAATGGAGCATTTTCCGCGAGGTTGATAGCTACAGCGATGGGGAGCCAAATGACGTCGCCGTGCTGGGATTTTCATCTGGCGGGCGAATAGAGACTGATGGTCGCAAAGACGGTGCAGTAAAAAGTCTGATAGGCCTTGGTGGTAAAAGCCGCATCCATGGTCGTGTCTAATACCTCATTGGGGTTGGGAAAACACCTTCGGAGGACCTGCAGACGTGGTTGGATGTCGTCGAGACGTCGAGTTACAGAATTTCACAGTGGTTCACCTATATGGAGTGATGCTTGTCGCACAATGATCCCCTAGGCACGAATCGGTATCTGACCGTCTCCAGTTCTTCAGCCTTGGTGGCCATCCCCAATCGTACCGTACATACACCTAGGTAGTAACTATCGCTCCGCCTTGGTGTTTGAGAGCCAGGATGATCCAACGCCACTGCTGTCATCGATCTCCATTTTGCAGCCAAAATAAGCCCGGCTTCCCAAGTCAGGAGTACCAGACACGGAATCCTTACGAGCTGGCTTTCTCATTCGTTCTTTGTGGTGCTGACTCGGGAGCCCCTGTCAGGCTGGAACCTTGAGGTAGGGAGGTAGTTGTTACATTCACATGTGCCTTGCTGATACGTCCATGCTAGCCCAGGTGCCCATGCAGAAGACTCTCAGATAAAAGCAGTGTATCCGCATGTCGAGACTACTTCGACCCTGGGTGTGGGACTTGGTGGGCATGATCCCTTCTGGTGTCGATTCCACATCCTGATGACGACGGTGAGGCGGGACACTTCTGATAGTACGCTAAGTTTCATCATATGCAAAGGGATTGGTCTTGCATACAGGGGGGACTACCGAGGGTTACCAGAAAATAATGCTTCTCGCTCTACCTGCTCAACTCTTCTCCCTCAAGAGATACCCAAGACAAATGCCGAGTGACCAGAACAACGCTGGGCATGACGCTGAATGCTCCGGGACACCCACCAAAGAACACGTTGCATCTCTGGGTTCCACGTCGACACTCAACAACAAACCACCTAGATGTGGAACTCGTTCTCCAACCAGTGTTTGACAACCAGCTTGCCCTCTTCAAAAGCGGGTTTCGGAATACGCACAATGATTGCGGCATGACTGTGGGTGCTCTTGTGGATGTACACGGGATACTTTTTGAATCCCACATCATCCAGGGCCTTGATCATGGCAAACTGGGCCGTGTTCAATGCTAGGGTCGGGAAATTGGACAGCCTTTCAGATGGCACAGGTTCATCGTTGTCTGGTTTCTCAGACAACAACGATTCAGACGAGGTCTTCGCAAAAGCCATTGTAGACGAGACAGGATCCTCTACGATTGCATCTGCTATCTCCTCCGAGCCCTCCGGTAGATATTCCTGTTCCTGAGCAGCGTTCACGTTCTCGAAAGCATCCTCAAGACCAACACGCATATCCTGGACCATCCATGGGATTCTGTACAGCCCGAACCCCTCCCCGTGATGATCGGCCTCATGAAGCATGATTCTCCGCTGACTGCGCAACGTCTGGATGCAGGAATTCACCACAAACGCCACCAAGATGACGGGGAGAAGGACCGCCAGCGCCAGCAGTATTGGTGCGCGACGGAGATAGTGGTGGCTATGCATGCGGAATCTTTGATAAAACGACGGCACCTCGTGCTGAGGTATTAGATCACATGGATGGTCTGGATCCAGTATCACGGGGTCGTAGCCCTTGACATAATGTAGTTTGACTTTTGTCAGATCAACGAAAGGATCATGCCTCGAGATCCCGGTTGTGTAGTACACTGCAGATCGATCATTGACGATGTTGGTGTACAGTGTACGATGCTGAAATCGAGCAAGGGCATGAATGAAAACGCTGTCAGGGTCGGCGAGGACGCTCAGCAGCGGCCTTCCTGTGTTCCGAAACTTGTCGATCATGAATAGCTGTCTGCCTGACGTTGATAACATTCTCGCGCCCAGCACGTTCCAAAGATGATTCTGGCACGCTTGAGTTAGACCAGTGGTGCAGGTTTTTTGAGGGTTTGCCCCTGTACGTACCTGGTATCCGGTCAAGGGAGTGCGGACGCCCAGATGAGGGCTGACAAAGGTGGTAAAGTTGACCGGGGTCATCTTCTCAAAGTATCCCTTGTGGTAGAGCAACCCAATGGCGTAGCGGGCAACAAGCCCTCCCAATGAGTATCCTACCACAGAAAAGCGTGTGATCTTGTGTCCATCACGTTCCAATTCGTCTACGGCGTCCTCGATCTCCTTTGCGACCCGCTCGCCGCCCACGTTCACGCCGTCATAAGTTAGACTGCCCAGGTTTCTGCGGCAAGCCAGGACTATGATCTCTTCCCCGCTGTAACGATCGCGCAGGGCGTTTGCGATGTAGTTGAGATGGCCGGGATTGCCCCAGAGACCGTGAACGAGGACCACCAGGTGCTGAGCCTTCTGCGGAGTGGACTGACCCGACATTCTCAGGGTGGGAGCCATTTCCCAGTTAGAGAAGAGGATCTGACTGTCAATACTGCGGAGGTCGAAAGGTAATGCAGGCATCAACATTTCTTTTGTACGCATCAGAATCGGCCAGTCAGCAGCCAAGGCCCTTGTTCGCAGTAGCGCCTGGTGGCGGTCGCCTGTAGGCTACACTATTAAAGCAAGTCAGTTAACCAGGGAGACTCTCGTGGGCACCCCTGTACTCGGTACTTGTGGAATCTGGGCACCTCCTTGAAAAGCCTTGAATGCTCTAAGTAGGCGCCGGGAATGTGGTCCGAGCTAATAAGTCCTTGTTTGCAGCTGTGTCACTGACGCAGTTTTGATCCCATCGACTCGGGAGTCCTCTCGCAGGCTCCCCCCCAGCCCAAGTGACAGTCGAAGTCAACAATTGACACCAGGCCTTTCCAGCAGCTTGAAGGCTGGCGCCGCACACACAATAGGTCGTGTCGTGACAGTCTTAGCGAGGCTGCCAGTTCGGCCTCTCTCTTCTTCGATACTTCGTACAAGTTGAAGACACCAAGCGCGACAGGAAAGGCAAATCAAGCACTATCGTTGGGATTCCCTCCAAAAGAGCAGAGATGCGTTCTACAGGACTGAGAAGGTGGATGGGATCGCATGGCTTGCTCGCGGCGAAGACTCCCTCGTCTTATGACTGTTGAGCAGGCTCCCCACGCATCACGCTTGGCCTCAATACCCTCATCTAGTTTCTTCTGCTCTTCCTGGGGTGTTATCTCAACCATTCTTGTACTAGCGATAAGGCGGCTCTCCCACGCCTGAGTCCTGCCTTCTGCGTGAACGGACATTGCCACTGGTTGCACTGGGCCTGGAGCATGCTTATCACCCTCTGCACCAACTGCAAGGCTCGGGATTACCTGATAGCAACAAGGTTTCGATCTGCTCAATGACCGCGCCTGCATGACCTCAATCCTCGAGGCCGAACCAAGGCGTACCACTGGCTGCCAAAAGGAATAACAAGGATCAGGGTCGCGGTACGTGCTACCGGGGGCAGGGGGGAGGGTCGTGGGTTGCGAACACGCGATCGTTTTCCCCAAGCGGCGGCGGCGGCGGTGTGCCCACCGAGCCACCAACGATCCTTCTAAGCGGTGAGGCTAGTGAGTTTAGGGAGGTCGTCGGTTCAAATTGAGTTTGACCGCAGCGCCAACCACAATTCGACCACTTCATCAATACCATCATCATCATCATCATCCACTTTATCCTTTATCAGTTCAGCATCCCCCTTCTATTCCTTCAACATGTTCTCCTCCCTCGGCCTTTTTCGCAATGTTCCGTGCCCTCGACAGGACGACTGCAGCCTCCAAACCTGTATCTTCTCACATAGCTGGAGAGTGCCTAGTCCTGAGGCAGACCATGGCCTCAACTCTGCGAAAGAATATGATCCGTTCAGCGCGGGGGAGATATCATCTCCGCCGTCGAAGAGAAGGAAGCTAGAATCTCCTCCCCAGCAGCCAGTGATCTCAAATGTTGTGCGTCTAGACACTAGAGGCTTAGAAGTGTCTACCCCAGCATCGTTCGGAACACAGCCGCCTTCACCGTCTCGGACAGTGAGTCGGCTCACGCAAGAAATCCCAACTTCAAGTCAGATTCCACGCCATGTGATACAAGGGCGTGCTGAAGGGAAGCCGACTTCTCTCGTGAGACCTGTGTCGCCTCCACCAACGCAATTTCGCAACGAGTCTTCAGTCCTAATCAAGAAGCAACCGGTAAAAGTCGAATCACTAACTCCGCGTAACGTTGCAAACGCCCCGGCGCTCCTGAGGACGAGATTGACAGTGCTGCAAAAGTTGCACGAGGAAATGCGGACTCAAAATAGCAAGCTTGCTGATTCGGACACCAAGCACAGGTCGCTCGTGCTAGATGAACAAGAGTTGGTAAGGTTCGCCCTCGACGAAGAGGAAGCCGCCACAAAACTGGGAGGTGAAATTTACAAGAATACCATGGCGCAAAATATTCTGCGAACCAGAAAGATGACCATGGAGGAGTGGGTCAAGAGAGTCTCGCAATGGACCGGAACATCATCATCGGCCAATGTGCACGCTAAGCTAGTCGACAAGAGGGATGATCTTCTTTCGGCAGGCTTATCATCTCTGAACGAACAGGTTGCTGTTCTCAAGCATCTCCACACACCTTTGGAAGGCCTCGAGAAGTTCGGTTATGTGACCACCCAACCATCCAGCTCCGAGCTCGCTTCAGCGAAAGCGGGATTGGTAGCAACCAGGGGCTTTGAAAGCTGCGATCGATGTGGGACAAGATTTCAAGTCTTTCCCGGCCGAGATGAGACGGGACGCTTGACAAGCCAGGGAAGGTGTCGTTATCACTGGGCTCGACCAAATCGCACGGTTCCCCTGAAGAGGGATAGAACTCAAGGTCAATCGGAAGCAATCTACCCTTGTTGTAACAAGCCACAAGGAAGTGAAGGCTGTTCGGATGCCGACTCACACGTATTCGTGGTCAAAGACCCCAGGCGCCTTGCGACAATCCTGCAATTTGAGCATACTCCAGCAAAGTCCGACATCCGACTCAGACAACCCGTTTCCTTCGATTGCGAAATGGGCTATACCACGCATGGGATGGAGGTTATTCGAGTTACGGCCGTCTCGTGGCCTGACGGGAGGCTTCTACTTGACGTCTTGGTCCGACCTTTTGGGGAAATCCTGGATCTGAATACTAGGTTCTCCGGAGTGACAAAAGAAGCCTATGCATCAGCGCTGCCGTACCAGGCCACTCTCTGTGAAAACGTCCAGGAAGCGCATCTCAACGACCGCCAGCTCCGTAAAGTGGACTCGCCGGGCGCAGCCAGGCAATTGCTGTTCGAGCACATCAGTCGAGAGACTCCACTGATAGGTCATGCCATTGAAAACGACTTGAACGTTGTGAGGATCATACATCCCTGCGTGGTCGACACAGCTCTCTTGTATCCTCACCCACGAGGATTACCGATAAGATACGGACTGAAGCTGCTCAGTCAAAAGTATCTGTCCCGGGGTATTCAAACCGCGGGCGAGGCTGGACATGACTCGAAAGAAGACGCAGTGGCTACGGGAGACCTGGTCACGAAGAAGGTGGTAGAGAAATGGAAATTGATGAGATGTGAAGGGTGGGCATTCGTTGACGGAACCCTCATGGCACCAGAGGAGATGAAGCCGTTAGAACACGTGCCTTGACGTCGTGCTTGCGTCGCGCTCGTGCTTAGGGTTGCCTTGGGGTGCCCGACTATTCTCGCTTAGGTCTAATGCCAGTTTCTCCTAATCCACTTTGACTTTTCAGCGCGAGCCCCCTTTCCTAACTGGGAGACTGTGAACCGCGCCTGCAGTAGCCGGGGTACCTGTACAATTTCAACCACTCAATCAACGGCATTGTCCCCTGAAATTCTTGGACAGCAGAAGCCGTCTTTTGAGGCTCTAGGTACCTATGAAAACACTCTAGATTCCCAAACTCTGTCGTCGCTCTCGTCGTTCGAGTCCTCCGTAGCGCATTCACTTGTTGGGTCGAGGCTGAGACCCGCAAGCAACCTGATCACAACAGCTGCTTCTAACTGCGCCCAACTCACTGTTCTGCGACGGCATCGCCCCTGCTGAGAGATAAGCTGCGCCCTGCAGCAAAACATAGAAAATGGGCGGTCAAATATCCAAGATGATGGGCAAGATCTTCGGGTCGAGAGAAATGCGGCTGTTGATGCTGGGCCTCGATGCTGCTGGCAAGACAAGTGAGTCCAAAATGGCGCGGCTGCGCAGTCCAATGCATCATCCAGTGTCGCATGTGCTGTGTACCTTAACATACTGATGGCTGAACAGCAATCCTCTACAAATTGAAACTTAACCAAGATGTCACTACGATCCCTACAGTTGGCTTCAACGTCGAGACCGTCACCTACAAGAACGTCAAATTCAACGTCTGGGACGTGGGCGGACAGGACAAGATTCGGCCACTCTGGCGACACTACTTCTCCGGCACGCAAGGTCTGATCTTCGTGATTGACTCCAACGATCGAGCACGCATCGACGAGGCCAGGCAAGAACTACACAGGATCATCCTTGACCGGGAAATGAAAGAAGCACTCTTGCTGGTCTTTGCCAACAAACAAGATATCCCGGGCTCCATGACCCCTACTGAGGTGACAGAGAAGCTGCGACTCGGACAATTGAAGGATCGGACTTGGTATGTGGTGCCTAGCTGCGCTACTACCGGAGAAGGATTGCTTGAGGGATTGGTGAGTAGAACTCCGTCTGGAAGTCATGGTATATGTATTGACGCCATCCCTTGCAGAGTTGGCTCTCGACGAATGTCAAGGCGCAACCGAGGCCAGCACCCGCTAAGTAACACCCCGCGGCCGTTGCAGATAGTCTTGGGCGGCATTGGAGCATTCGAGTCGGTCTGGTGGCAGCGAAATGTGGCGATAACCCGGACGACAACAGCCATGACACCTATTCGCGATGGATCCCGTTCTGAGAAGCATTATGTGAATGGAGTTCAGGGCATTGAGATTTCCCAGCGTCACGATAGGGCGTGGGAATTGTCAGGCAAGCGAGGGATCAATGCTCTTCGGAAGGGGAAGATAAGTTGTGCATAACCGGCTTCGCCTATTTTGCCGTTGTTCATTTGCCTAACATTCTACCATATTTGACATATGAGCGAGGGACTGGCAGATAGAGGGAGGAAGGGAGTGGGCAGACAGGACTGTGCAAGTGGTTGAGGCCGGGGGGGTGGGATGGTCGATGAAGGCATCCAACGTTCTTTGAATTTGGGGAGACACGAAACGAGTCAGCGGTCGTTAGGTATCGGCTGGGGGGGCGGTTTGATGCAACCACCATTGTATTGTACTAATGTATGTTATGTTGGTACTACTCGTACTCGGCACCAGTATGAATGTTCATCGGGCGAGAGGAGTTTCCAAGGAGCTGGGGTGCAGCTGGTGGAGATGTGGAACAACACCTGCTCTTATCACTGCAATATTTTGGCTATCACCCTCACCGTCACACACCACCGTCTTTCCCACTGTTACGAAGACAACGGAATCTATGGACGGTCTTACATACCATGCTGCAGCTACCTGTCGAGGCGGGCAGGCGATACTCCTTCGGGCAACCGCCGTGTGGCGGCGCCCACTCTTGGGGCGAGCGATGCTGTTTCTGCTCCCCCATTTGGTGCCGGCTACTTCACACCCACCTCTCACTCACCTCAACCCCCCTGGCTCCCCATCTTCTTGCTTCCCGCCAGTACAGCGGATATGCACCAGATGCATGCCAGCATGCACCACGACGCCTTGGGCCCTCGCTCGCGCGGCCTTGCATAGGTACACACCACCGGCATCCCAAGGAACACGAAGTCGATATTGCCACCTCTCGTCTGCAAACCCCCTTTCAACGGCGGACCTGCATGAACCCCCCTGAATCCCAAAAGGAAGAAGCGCCAGCTGCAGCAGATCGTAAATGCAAGGCTAGGGGATCGTCTGCAGCGGCGGCATGGACGAAAATTCACAAACAAAACAATTAAATCCCTCTTTCGACAATTCCTCCAGTTTCATCGTCCTCAAACATCGACTTGCCTCGTGGCCGCCCTCCCCCCTGGCTGCCCTCCTGCTCCTCCTGCTCCTCCTCCCATCCTCATCTACCAGCAGCATCATCTGACTCTATTTAAATCCCGACTATTGCTCCTCCTAATTACGCCATCCCACGCCATCTCCAGCTTTTTTCGACCAGCCGAGACCCGAACCATCCCCCGCCCTCAGCCTGCTGCCACCTCCCACCTGCAATTGAACGGCCCGAGCCTGCACAACCCCCGTCAAGGTCTCGAACTCCCGTCCCTCGGTGGCTTCAAATCCTCCTCGTGCGGTTTTTGTTTGAGGCTTGGAGCCACTTTTCTCTCCCCCTCATCCTCGTCTAAGGTCTCATCGGTGGACTCTGGAGTCCACCATTCCCGGTGTCGACGTCAAGGCAAAGGCCGCTGTTAATAGCCAATTTGGTCCAAGGTCAACAGACCCTCCTACTTCCGGCACCTGCCAGTTTCATCCTCCATCTTAGCTGCAGCTGGACATAAAAAGGGATTTCTTTGTCTTGGGCCTTGTTTCCCGGTTCTACCAGGCTTTTTGAGTTCCCCTGTCCTCATCTTTGCGCCCTGCCATCCGTTGGATTATTTGGTTGCGGCCATGTCCGACCATAACGGCACAGTCAATGGTACCTCCAAGCCGTCAGTGTTGATAGTGGGGGGTCTCGGTATGTGCATGCCCTTACAATGTGTTCCAATGCATATGCGCTAACAGTTTTTGGCAGGCTACGTCGGCCGCTTCCTGTCCAAATACATTCATTCCCAGAATCTAGCCTCCAGCGTTCGTCTAGTTGACAAAGTCTTACCGCAGCTTGCGCATCTTGCCCCAGAATTCAGCGAAGCATGCTCCTCGGACAAGTTCATACAGGCCGATGCCTCTCGCGAGACCTCGATGGCTCGTATTTTCGAGCATCCGGGTGGACCTGACAGAACATGGGACTTTGTCTTCAACTGCGCCGGCGAAACGGCCTGGTCGCAGACTTCAGAAATATATAAATTGCGCTCGTGGCAGCTCAGTGTGACACTGGCCAATGAAGCAGCCAAACGGGGCGTCAAGTCCTTTGTCGAAGTCAGCACAGGCATGGTATATGCTCCGAACCGTGTCCCACGGAATGAACAAGACAAGCTGAAACCGTGGCTGAAGCTGGCCAAGGTGAAGCTCGAAGCAGAACAAGAGCTGTCGAGAATCCCGGGGTTGAATTTGGTCATCCTCCGTCTGGCGCACGTCTATGGAGAGTATGACTCGAAGTTCATCGCCAAGGGGTTGTGTCTGGCTCGGGTCTATCAGGAACAGCAAAAGGAGCTGAAATGGCTCTGGACTGAGGACTTGAGGATCAACACCGTTCATGTAGAGGACGTCGCCCGAGCCTTGTGGGCAGCGGCAGAGTGGAGATCGCAGAATTCTACTATACCGTCATCGTCCTCTCCGACAATCACTCGGAGACCAACACTATCAAAAGGAGAGGATGCCCCTAGCGGCAATGTGCCTATATTTAACATTGTGGACCACGGAGAAACAAGCCAGGGCAAGTTGGCCGACATTATTTCCAAAGTTTTCGACATTAAGACGGGGTTCCAGGGGACCATAATATCCTCTTTCGCAAAGATGAACCTCGAACACGTCGTCGATGACCTCAACGAGGACATTCTTCAACCATGGGCCGATATGCTCGAAAAGAAGGGCATCACGAAACCTGGTCCTCTCAGTCCTTTCTTAGAAAAGGAGTTGCTCAAGGACACAGATTTGAGTCTCGACGGCAGTTTGTTTGAGCGCGTCGTGGGTTTCAACTACGAGCGGCCCGAAGGCCTGACGGTGGAAGGTGTGAGAGAGATGATTTCAAGTTATGAGAAGATGGGATGGTGGCCCTGACGCCAGGTTTGAAGTGGATTTTCTCACCTCCGCGCCTCACGCTCGAACCTCAGCACGGATGCCTTCCCCCCCCCCCCCCCCATTTTGTCCCTTTTCTTTTCCCCCTCTGGGTTTATCTTGTTACTCATTTGGGACACCAGCTACCCAGAAAACTCTGTTTCCTCCTTCTCAGTTCAGAGCCTGCCATCATCTCCTTCAGACCATTCCAGCCAAGACGAAACCAACCAAATCAATGACATTCTGTGCGCGGGGAATCACGCTGTACATAACGAAGAGAAGACGAGACAAGATAAGAGTACTGGACGACAATGTAGTGATCAACCACTGTTTCAGATAGAGCTAATCGTGCAATTGAGGGACAGGGGGCATTATTATTACTATTACTAGTGGTAGTTACCGGGCAGGACAATATGGACCATCCAATGAAATGGAGAACGGTCCTATCCTAAGCATAACAAATAGTCTCTCAACCCGCCGGCTGAGAAGGACACCAAGCCACCTGATCATATTGTTGTGGAGGCTCTTGTGCCAGCCACTCTTCCTTCCCTGAGCAAGCCTCGCTTTCCATCCGTTAGGATAGTACCTATCACGGGTCGTTCATGGCCATCAAGGCCTGTACGTCTTGGTCAGCAGAATGGCGTACATCAACCCGACTATGTAAGCGTAGCCCAGTATAAAAACCTCCGACCAGAAATCACGCCATTCCCGATCACCTCCCCACTCACCGGTCACCCTCTGCGCTACCGTCTTCCCCCACCAGAAAACAGGTCCGCTTAGAGCGCCCAGGATAATGTAGTCGCGTCTGCTCGAGTCCTTGTCCTTGGGGAGCGACATGGCGAAGGCGCCGGCTGCGATGGGTCCGCCTATGGCGAGGAAGAACACGAACAGGTATCGGCGGTAGAAAGTCTTTCGGGGAGGTGCATTTTCTGCTGCTGCTACTACTGCCACCGTCGGCGCCGCCGACGGTGCCGGTGGTGATGGCGATGGCGGTGGTGGCAGAGGCTCAATGACCACGGCGGCCATCTGTTATTTTTTGATTCCTGTCAGAACATCTCTCCCGCAAAGACCGCTGTTGAACGGCATGAAAGGAGAGACTCATTACTGGTTCTGGTCTTGCTGGTGGGATATCTTCCGCCTCCTTGCTGCTATACCGGGGTAACTCGATACCATGGATGCTTGCCTCGTCAGGGGGATATGCGGGTGGCGGGCCCAAGGAAGGCATCATGGAGATTGGGATCGAGAAGTGAGAGAGGCTGCTTGTGTTCGTAAGAGAGACAAACGATAATTTGGTTGGGAGGCTCCTTGATGCCTAATTTCTGAGCTCTCGGGGCGCGAAGTGTTCTCTCGCTACTTCAACATCGCCCGAACAAGATGCAGGGGCGCTTTGTTTCAGGGGAGGATGTCGAAAGATCCAAGACGAAGAGTAAATGGGAAGATACGTCAACCTGGAGGCGCTTTGGTGAATGGTTCTTGTCGGCGCCTTCGGGCTCACGAATGACTTGGCCAGAGAGGAACATGGGGCGAGATTAAACCGACATTTTAAATCTGGAGAAGTCCAGGACGCTGGAGAGGAAAGGTTTGAACCTGACGGATCACGCCGTCTGAGTGTGAGGAAGGTACGATGATCAATGGCCCCTAATTCATTCCATCTGTCCTCTTGACTTTTTCACTCGCACACTGATAAAGCCTCGATGGCCTTCAAGTTCCCGCAGAGATGGCACATACCTTGATCCTCCAGAACTCGCGATGACCCTGCAAACCCTTTTCTCCTCAAGACCCGGCGGTAATGACGCATACTTTCATCCTCCAGACCCGCACACCCATTCGAGCCGCATGGCACAGGTCGTTCTGGAAGTCGCGCCAGCCGAGGGCGATGGTTTGCCAATCCGCTTCCGTAAAGTCGTCTGGATCGTTTCGTGATGCCAGACTCGGCGGACAAAACGAGTCTAGGGGTGTTGAATTGAGGGAAGATACCGCGACTTCTGGGAGACCGCTCGCTATCATCATGCTCTCCGGGTCCACGCTATCCCGATCTTGAACACCGCCGTTTTGGCAATGGTCCACGGAATTGACCTGGTCATCGCCGCCACCGGTTTCCTCATCTGCTAGAAGAGAACAAGCACCAACACTGGCGGGTCTCCGGACGGTGGCATTCTCAGACCGACCTGTCCACACGAATCGACAAACATCGTTCCATCCATAACTGAGCACCTAACCCAGGACGGCCGACGGGGAAATGTCGACGCGGTAGCATATGCCAGTGAAGAAGGGCGCGAGGGTGTGCTCCTCCACGGGTGCTGAGGGCCAGTGGTACGCTTGCGCGAGGGGTGCGGCCGTCGTGTGGGATATGGAATTGAAATGGCTTCGTGTGGGTAGACAAGAGACGCTGATATACACGGACATGAGTGATGGGAGAGACGGAGGGATGAGTGACCGGGAGACTAGGGTTCGTGGTAAGAGTGGTGCGCCGTCTGTCATGAAAGGTACATTCGATTGCGATGCACCCTGTTCACGATCGTTATCATGGTCACCGGCGAAACCACGAAGTTCTTCAGTTTGTGTGACAACGCTGACGGTGACCCCCTCCTTCTCCGGCGTGGCTTGGTTCGTTCCTTGTCCACGATCCAGCTCCTCGACTCGCATGATATGCACTCGCCACAGTTCCTCGAATGCTTGTGGGTCGCTGTCGGCCCGAATCTTGGCGAGACGAGCAATAAGTTCGATGATGGCATCCTCAGTACATTCGGGGCTCATTCTCTGGTTGGAATGGGCAGGAACTCTCTGTGTAATTTGAGATGCCAATTTCTCTAGCTTCCTACTTGCTCGAGCACGAGCGCGTGCATGAAACGCGGCCGCTGGTGACGATGAACGGGTGTCTGCGTCGGCCATGTACGAGTCTTCACCGTCAGTTGCTGCGCTACTGGGGGCTCTGGCTCGATGCGCCGGGCCCTGTGGGCGGCGGATGAACATCACATTGCGCATTTGGCGCCAGAGAGGCTCGAGGATTCGATGATACCTTTTGGCAATGCTCATTAGTGACGATTCCGTCATTTTCATGCCATATTCAGCGTCCAACTGAGCGCTGTCCCGTGGGGCATACCTGGTATCTGGAGTTTGATTCTTGCCTCTCACATAGACCAATTTGGCTTCCTCCTCATCAAGGTCCGTCTCGTCCAGAACCCATTCCGAGCTGGTTTTCCAAATGATATATCCGAACGCTCGGACTAAGAGATCGGTGACGTTCTTCAGACTACGGTCAGAGGCTCGCTGGATCTGCTTGTAGTGCTTGTTGCGTATAACGCGGATGACGCCGTTGTGGAAATCCTGATGCTTGTCCGGTCGGATCTGCAATTGACGAAAGATGGGAGCATAGAGCTTGCCACCCGATTCGGCGACGACAATGATGTTGTCGGTGAGTTTGCGCAATTCTGTGCCGGGGACGATGCTCAGGTCTGTGATGGGGGTAAAAGGAGGCTGCGGTCGATGTGTGTCTGTCTCAGACTCTGCATGGAGCTCGTCAGGCGATTCCGGGGACGCCATGCTTAATCTGCCGGAATATCGAATCAATGAGATAAGGCCAAAGGGCACGAAAACAAGCATCAAGGAGGTATAAAGAAGAGAGGTTGAAGGTTAAGACATTGGTTACTGTCAAGTGTCAATAAAGGTGTCGATGGGATTGATCCATTCTGAGCAAGACAACACTTTTCAATGACGGGCAAGTCATTGTATCGTTGATGAACAGTGAATCTGAAGCACGATGTGATTGATGTTTCCATGGCAGTGAGGCACAAAATCTTGTTCCTCAGTCCCAGCTCATTCATTCATCTGGACCGAGTCAGTCCACGCTACCGTCTGCGACCTACTGTGGTTGTCTACTTGAACACCCTGCCATCAATCTCAGCTGAAGCATCTGTCAACTCGCCCACCAGTTCGAAGCGACAACTCAGGTGACATTCGAGAAAGGAGCCCGTGATTTATCGAATGTTGACGTTGGAATTGCACCAATCTCGCTTCAAGCCACGTTGGTCAGATCGACGGGGGACAGGCCTTGCATGCCCAGGATCTACACCCTGGCACCCGAGTTGGCTGCCTTGGGGGGCTGAGCCCGAGAGCCCTGTACAGTACTTGTTGGCGCCCTTGGACACCCAATTGCCTGCTGGGGAGCGAACTGCCACTGGTTGGCAGCCTAAGTTGGGCTACCTTGTACTGGGCATAATTCTAGTGGCCAAGGGGACTAGGCCCCAGGGAAACTATTGCCGTCAGCAGAAGCTTGGGCCCATCCATCAACCGTGGCTTGTGCTGCTGACCTCCCCCTGGTCGTCTGCGTGTTTCCTGCGTCTGAGACTTTCCATCGCCGTCATCATCATTCTCCATCGTGACGCGCTTCTGTAGTCTTTTGCCTCATGCTCTCATAGCATTCCAACCGGTTCACCTCTCTTTTTCCTTACTCCTCCACAGCGGCCCACATCCTCCAACAATGTCATGGAAGCTCTAATCTATAATGAATCACCCATCGCAGAATATCTGGAGGGAGACGCCATCCCCTTCGAAGCCGCCGAACCTTCTTCACCTCCTCCTTGCGCTCGTCAAACCTATGCCCCCCGAGGTCTGCCCAGACTGCGCGAACGATTACGAACGTTTCGCCAAACCGCTGCTTCGGTGACAGATGTCGCAAACGAACAGTTTCTCGAGCGCTTCCGCTACGTGATTGTTGCCTCCCAGCTTCTCGCAGACGAACCGAAGCCGAGACGACAACTTCTCCAACATGATCAACCATTCGCTCCACATACTCTCTCCCTCAAAGGTGCTTGTATAACAGCCGGAATTTCCTTCTCGGTCGCGTGGTCTCTTCACCTGCTCCAGCGGGGATATAGAACATCTCGGTCACATTGTTCAACTTGGTCAGAAATATGCATATACTCATTATTGTTTATTGGGGGTTGTCTGGTTCTTTTGTACTTTGTTCGGCGTCAATATCTCGAATTTGTGCGGCAGTCTGCCGGGTCAACACTGGGAAAAGTTGTGTCGAATTCACATAATTATGATAGTATTGCGGCGGAAGCGCTTCGATTCATTCAAGAAGTTGAGGTTGTGTCTCGTGGGTATGAAATGTAAGTGCATGGCTTGTGTGGATATTTTGTTTCCCTATCATTGCTGACACATGTACAGTAGCCATCCATTACCTCCAGTCAGTCGACTGGAAGATAAAAACTCTCCGAGTCGCTGCCGTGACCTACGGACCACTCTTGGAGTGACCTTGACGGCCAGCATCGTCCGATGCGTCGAAGCTCACAATGCCGTCCAACCATTTGTGAGAGACCTCGACCTACAAAGGTACCATGACATATACGAAGTCTCGATGCAGGATTACACCGATGCCGTTGCGTTTGCAAATGATTCTCCCCTAGACTCCCGGGACTCCCTGAAGGAACTTCGCTTCCTTTTCCGACTCCAACTCATTGCAAGGAAGGTTTTCCTTTGTGATCTGCTGGCCCTTCACTCTGGCTCCACCTGGTACAACGTCCGCCAGTGGCGATTGATATGCCATGTGCTGGAAGGGTTAGATGGTGCACTTTCCCAAGCAAGCCAAGAGCTCCACAGCGCAGTAGTGCGCGAAGAATATGGTGAAGATTGCCAGGACGCTGTATCGGAAGAGGCCGAACCCGCGGCTGAACGGAGCATCGACGCCACTACGCCGCAAAAGAGACACACCAAAGCTCAATTACGCCGATTCGAAGCGGTGGCCAATACTATCCGATCACTGAACGCCAAAATCCATCTCCTGAGGGAAGAAATTAACTCGTTAAAGTCGAAGGATGACTCTACCCTGAGCACAACTATCACTGGCCATTATGAACAGCTTGGGGCAGAGATTCGAAACGCCCTTGTCGAATGGGAAAAGGGGCGAAACACCATGTTCCTCAACGTGGGAACCGAATCTGATAATCGTTTCTCCCGAGCATCCAGTGGTTTGCGATCACCAGCATCGCCATCTCCGAGCAGTCTGGGCGGACTGACAGTTGTGGATGGCGGGCCTGCAGAAGCGCTAAGGCTGCTGAGTGGCGGCGAACGGAGTCCTTCTGACGGAGCAGGACTGGATGAAGAAGTGTTTGAAGCGGTGGCCTTGCCGCGCAAGAGAATGTCTTGGGCACCAATGAGCCGCGAAGAGAAGCTCAACCGACTCCAAGAGGACCGGAGGAAGCGGGCAACCTTCCAAGAGCATGCCGAAAACACCACCAACATGTTGCGAGAACTGCAGATGGTTATCAAGCATCGTCCTCTGGCCAGATCGGACACGCGAATTACTTCGATATGATGGACCCTGCGGTCTCGATCGCGGCACCTCGGCTTCGCCTAGTCTAGGTTCTGTGATTCGGAATCGAGACTTGCCTTGTTTCAACATTGACGACAAATATTTCATGACGCACATGCAGGGAGTTCAAGGTATGATTCTCGGGGATGCGCCATGTTTGAACGGATTGCTTTCGGCTAGAGTAAAGTCGGGCGTTTTCAATATCACCAAAAAAGTTCAGGGTCACTTACCGAGGCAAAATGGTCATATTTCGGTGGGACGCGTTGTTTGTTTTGGGCATTTGCACGAAGATTCACTACTACTTGGTCGGTATGGGAAGGCCGAATGAGAGACGGCGACGTGGGAAAGACCTCTGAGATCCCGGTGCCTAGCGATGGAGGAGGTCAAGGAGAAGCGGCTAATGGCGAGACCAGAGGGATTCACACATGTTCTTTCCTTTGTGAGGTGGTGGTTTCCGAGTTGTGAGGGCATGGAAATATGAGGGAGGATGTTCGTGATATAAAAAGGGGCGGATTGGGCCTCGGCCCTGCCACAGATTGTGTACTATTCGGTAGCCCAGTGCTGGCCAGGCTTCGAGAAGTGTGCGATGGTTAGTAATGAAATGCTGCAGAGCTCTCGCTAGAATCCCTCAGAAGGAGAACAAGGAATCCGGGCCACCGTGATCCCGGACTCGGATCTGTCAACAGCCCGGAAGTGTGGCTGATTACCTGGGACCCAGTACAAGTAGGCTCATTAGGCCTCACTAGCCTTCGTGGCTCCCTCTCTGGGGCTTTGCTATGTCTGTGACTGGCAATTGCCGCTGCTTTGCTGGGTTCCGATAGCCGAGCCATGTGAGAGAGAGAGAGGTAGACGAGGAGCGAAAGCCCGACCTGAGGCATCTGGTTGGGCAACACTACGGTCTGAGCACAGGCACCGGGAATTCCTCTCTATTCCCTCCGGCGCCAGCCCTATCCCTTGTCCAGTTACTTACATCCTGTTCATCCACCAGTCATGTTCTGTTGCGTTATTTCCCGATATTGTCCTCAGCCATCGATCAAGACGGGGGATCTTCATTCAGAATCCCCCGGACGGTTGCAGCCTCATCGCGAGCGTGTCGCTGCGTTCTTTTTCCATCCATCACGCTGGCTCTCGAATCTCACAGATGTCTCTTGGGCCTTCTCGCGCACAACGAGGCGGGAAATAACGACGTAATGAGGGTGAGCATCGCTACGCGTCGGATATGGCTCATGGCGAATCCTCCCCTCGCTTCCGCAATGCCTTGGCCCTTGGCGCATCAGCCTTTCCTGCTTCCACCGAAACCGAAATAATACCCATCGGCCATCAACCTTAGTCAGATCTGCTTTCTTCAACACGCCCTCTAATTCTTCGTCCATCATCTTCCAACGACATCAGAAGAGAGGAGGCAAAAGGCCTCATATTGGCGCTCTCCGTCTCAAACCTCGTCGATCCGCATCAAGCCCTTTCTCTGTCCCTGGAGCCTTTTTCAGATCCGGTCAGCCGGCCCCCACCGAGCCCTGTCCATCCCCGTATTATGATCATCGTTTTCTCTCACCAGGCGATTGTGCTCGGTCCAGACTTGTGAATTGTGGCAGCTTTGGCGACGCCTTCAAGTCCCAGAGCGAAACTACAGGGCCCTCTCGACAGCATCGAGCTATACTATCTCCCGTCGAGCCGCTCAGGTTCTCCGGAAGCAGCCAAGGCATCTAGAAGTGATACGGTAATCCATTTCGGTCACGACGGCCTGCTCGCTAGGCCCATGTCCAAAAGACCATTTTTCTTGCCACAGATGTTAGGCAAAGTCTTTTCGAGAGTGTCGTATTGTGGCTGCAGGTAGGTCCAAGCCTCTTTTCCCTCAAAGGAAACACTTACCTCTTTCTGGCTCTCTTTGACGATCGTCCAAATGGGCCATGTCATTCACACCCCCGTCAGCCCTGGGTGTTTAACTAGGAGTATATCTCCAACCGGACGTTGCCCCTGGGCCTTGGTTGGAAGAGCGCATTTGCCACGCGCCAAATTGCAAGGTGTGCCCTCCTGGTCCTATTGAACTGTTCTTATGGCCTGGCGGTGGCTCGAGCGCATCAAAGTCCCTCTTTGCAAATGCAAGTATCGTCTAAGATGTTGCAAGTACTCTTATGATTCGTTGGCCTGTCACGCACTTTCTCTTTCCATTCAACAATTTCGCCCGCGAACGACTGCAGCCACATCTCCTCGCAGTTGCCCCTTAGGT